CGTTCTTACAGCATTCTCAAGCGTTCTTACAGCGTTCTTATAGCGTTCTCACAGCATTCTCAAGCGTTCTTACAACATTCTCAAGCGTTCTCACAGCATTCTCAAGTATTCTTGCAGCGTTCTCAAGCGTTGTTACAGTGTTCTCAAGCATTCCGTCCCCCAGCATTCTTAAACCGTTCTTAAGGGCGCCTTCAAACAGAGGTATGCCCAACAAAAACCTAGGGCCACCATCTCGCTAGAGCCCGATTCTCACAGCAGACCACTTTCCCATTCGGGCAGACACACATATGAGGTCCAGGTCCACCATGCCAGCACTTATACCTACAACATATCTACAATCACACGCTCGATCCATGCTGGAACTGCATATGGTACTGCAGCATACCAAATGAATGAGTGTTATGATGGATCCCTGAACGCGATCACAAGGCCTATGCTGAGGGGCTCGCAACAAGGCGCATGGACAGGACAGCCCAATAGCCAAGTACAGCCCCACACACCGCCTACACTCCCCACACCTAAGGTGGTTCCTAACAGGGCGTGTATCACTCCAAGTCCACCGCATCCAACTGCTTCTTGCTCAGCCCAGTGGTCCTCATGGCCCACTGGACTGCGGTCATCTTGCCCTTGACTGCGAGCAATCCCACAATGGGCCATCACACCTGCAGACAGAAGCAACCAGAACAAAGTCAACACATGTGATGCAGACGTGCTATCACAGCTCAACCTTGATTTACCTTCTGGAAGAGGCGGAGTGGCCGGTCGTTTAGTGCAAAGGACTGGTGTACTGGGATGGCCAGCTAAGGATGGCCGGCCGGACGCGGCCGGCCTCATTGTTCAGCATAAGGCCGTGTGAATTAGCATGCTGTTTTTGTGCATCGGTGAAGATGCTGAGGTAGGTGTCAGGGTCAGGTGCGACCTCCACAGCAGCTTCCACGGCTGCATCATCGTCGGTCCTGGGCCGTTTTTTCTGCACCGCAAGGAGGAAATGGGTTGGGATCGATCCCAGATATCTGTTGCCTTTGCATGCATTCATTTTATTTGCCGACATTGACATGGAGCAAGGCATCCCGTGAAAATGCACGTGATTGCAAACATGAACCTAAGAGAAACACTTGTAACCCAGATCGCGTCAAACAGTATAATTTGGAAAATTGGAATGAGAGAAATGGTCTGCGGTAACCGTATGAAGGGAAATGAATGGTTTGACCCGATCTGGACCCGGTCATACCTTATTGCGGACTGCACCCTCGGCGGCAGCGGCTTTCCTCTTTGTCGCAGCATGCATAGTAGCAATACGTGCTGATTGTCGAGGGTGTCCTTCTTCAGCTCCTCGTTGTGAGCGCTGTTTTGGCGGACGAGATGGAGGCTTGCTTGAAGGCCTGGCGACCTGTAGTCCAAGGCTTGCTAGCTTCTTTAAACTCCTCTGGATGATGAGAGCTCTCTCTTCTTCAAGTGTGTTCCTCAACGACCTTTCTGGGGACACAGACCTCGAGGACCCCTGTCCGCTATTTGGACTATTCTGCCTGGATGTCATCTACAAAATATGAGCACATAGGCTTCGATTCGTTGGTACTGTCCAATTCTGCGAAGTTAAGACCAGGATTCAGCATAATTTTCAAGATGCCGTACACTTCCGGACCAGGGTCCGGAATTGCACGGCATTTCACCTCTTGCTGCCCAGAAGTCATGTGAACATTTGGACAATTTGCAGCACCAATAAGAAACGTCACTGGGTTTAGCACTATGTGATTGCTGTGAAAATGGCACCATCTGGTACCTTTATGCAGATACGCGACCTGTACTTACAGAAGAGACAAATAGGCCAACGCCTTAAACGTGAAGTGTTTAACTTTGCGTGTGAACTTGCACAGTGCCGCGCCGGAGAAACCTTCATAGTTATTGTCGATGGCATTGAGTGGGTTGCTACAGTGCCAAGGCGCAGCAAGCCAGACGATCTCGTATCAATGAGATTCTCGGCTGGCAATGAGGTGAATACTGTGCCAGGTTGTTGCTGAGAAGTGTTCGGCACGCAAACAGATTGTCTCCGTCCTCACAGGTGGAGAGGACGCTTGTCGGAATGCTTGGTAGTGGCGCCAAGGAGGAGAGCCTGAAGAGGTACATCCGTGAAGGATTGGCTATGAAAACAAACGAATACAAGGAGCGGGTCAGGGACATGAGCCATGATGCCGCTCTGTCGTTTGTCATGGGCCAAATAAGACACCACACCAGCAGAAGGACAGATTGGTCGTGAGGATAACATGACGTACCATTGGCCCATGCGGCCATGGACTCGACTGTATGATGAGGTACGCTACCTGCCTTTGTTCCGCCCAGGTTGTCTCAGCTGAAGCCAGGGTGCCTGCACACATGCAGATCATCAAGAATGCAGCAGCTTTGCCGCCGGCAGCTGCTGAGTGGGGGCTGCCAGGCAGCCAGCATGCTGCTGGCAGCCTCCCTGAGCACAGCAGCGGGTTGTGTACCATGCCAGGGGTCCCTGCACGCAGCACGGCTTTGTCTGAGCATGCCGCTTCAAGCTTTGCGCTTCACCTCTGTGCCACCAGTGTCATCACGTCACAGGCAGCCAGCGCGGCTGACAGGACCATGACAACAGTGGGTTTCCAGCTCCAGGGCTGGGCGGGGAGCGATATGCATGGGCACCTTTACAAACAGATTGTGTATTTCACAGGGGAATGAAGAAGCTTTGAAGGCTGGTGAGGAGGTGGTGACCTCCGGGGGAGCTGAGGTATGTACCACTGCCCTGTCGCCGGCCCGCGGCCTTCCATCCTTCCCCCACCCATCACACACACGCACGGTCTTCTTGCCTGTCACCATCCACCCAGGGAGGTGATGCTGCCATGGTGGACCCGGTGAAGCATGGCGGCACTGGTGATGCTGGCGAGTATGGGGTGTCCGAGGATGGCACAGAGGTCTCTGGTGCTGGCCAGAGCAATGGGCTGGCCCCTTCAGAAGCAGGCGAACAGGTAGGATTATGGGTGAGATCAAGACCAAGCTCATGCATGGCAGGGGGGAGCAGAGTCGCACCTTGAGTGTCGTGCGGTCTCCCTGACCCCCGTCCGTCCCCTGTCGCTGCTCCTGCAGTCAGAGGAGCTGGTTCATCGAGGCTTTGGTGTGTGCAACGAGACCAGGAAGAGAAAGCGGGCCCCAAACATGACCCGGCTGGTGGCGGACGATGAGGAGCAGCAACGGGAGATGGACAGGGGACACAATGATACAGATGATGCCGCTCCACGGTATCCACGCATGGCAGGACAGCAGGTGGGCAGGCCTGAGGGGCGGGGTCGGTCCACATAATTGAGGGTACACCGGTGTACCACAGAGCATGCAACGGGTGCACCACATGACACTCCACAGGAGCAGCACGACGGGGTGGAGTGTGTCGGCTGGGGATGGCACGAAGGGGGGCATCCTCAGATGCACTTGCTTGCTGTGTTCAGTACTCCGGTACACCAGGGCTTCGGTGCAAGTCTGCTTCCCGCTGCCATGACTGCCCGTCGACCAACCTAGCGAACCTGTCATGCCTCCTGTGCATCACTCTGTGTGATGCGGCCTGCAGGAGGAGGCCACAGCGGCTGCTGTGCCATCCCCGTCGGCTGCAGGATGAGCTGCCATTGCCCAGCCCACGGTTTCCATGCACGGTAAGACAGCAGGTGGGGGAGCCTCCGGGGCGGGGTCGGTCCGTGTGAGGGAGGGTGCACCACAGAGCACACAACGGGTGCACCGCATGACACTGCCCGTTGACCAACCTGGTGAACCCATCGTGCCTCCTGTGCATCACTCCGTGCAATGCGACCTGCAGGAGGGGGGCGCCTCTGCTACTGTGCAGCTGCCACCGCCGGCGCCTGGGGATGCCCATGGTGGTGAGGCGGCTGCTTTGCCATCCCCGTCAGCTGCAGGACCAGCAGCCATTGCCGGCCCACAGTTTCCGTGCACGGTAAGACAGCAGGTGGGGGAGCCTGAGGGGCGGGGTCGGTCCGTGTGAGGGAGGATGCACCACAGAGCACACAACGGGTGCACCGCATGACACTGCCCGTTGACCAACCTGGTGAACCCATCGTGCCTCCTGTGCATCACTCCGTGCAATGCGGCCTGCAGGAGGGGGGCGCCTCTGCTACTGTGCAGCTGCCACCGCCGGCGCCTGAGGATGCCCGTGGTGATGAGGCGGCTGCTTTGCCATCCCCGTCAGCTGCAGGACCAGCAGCCATTGCCAGCCCACGGTTTCTGTGCACGGTAAGACAGCAGGTGGGGGAGCCTCCGGGGCGGGGTCAGTCCGTGTGAGGGAGGGTGCACCACAGAGCACACAACGGGTGCACCGCATGACACTGCCCGTTGACCAACCTGGTGAACCCATCGTGCCTCCTGTGCATCACTCCGTGCAATGCGACCTGCAGGAGGGGGGCGCCTCTGCTACTGTGCAGCTGCCACCAACGGCGCCTGGGGACACCCATGGTGGCGAGGCGGCTGCTCAAGCAGCAGACGAGAGGAGACTGCTGCCCAATGATGAAGCACACCTTGAGCGAGAGATCCACCGCATGGCTGGTGCGGTGGTGTCCTATCGGGAGTCTCGCCATCAGTGAAGGCCCACCAGGAACCGGGCCATCCAGTCATCATCAGACTCGGACGTGGAATCTGAGCCGGAACCAGAGGACAGCCATGTACTCGAAACAGACCTTTTAATGCACACGATAGACATGGTCCCGGTGATGCTTGACAAGGAGGGGTTTGCGGTAGTAGACAATCCCCACCTCGCCTCTCTGATCACTCCCGATGTTCCCACAAGCACCACTGAGCTCGTGTCAGGCGATAAGGCAGCAGCAATATTTCAGCGTGGGGACCTTCCCGCATGGCAGGGAGGGCTACCATGGCTTACCCATGAGGGCAGGCTCCGACTCAGCAATGGAACCGGGAGGCGTATGATGGTCAAGCTGGACAAGGTGCAGTAGGGGCCTAGCCTGTCGAACATAGCATCCTATGTGGAGGGTGTTATCCAAGACATAGTGGAGCGGATCCCTGGCTTGCACCTGGTCAAGCCTGGTGTGATCCTTGGCAACAACCCTGGCGGCACAGCCCCCATTCGTCGGCAGACGCTGCACGTGGACATGCAGCCTGGCAGAGGGATGTCGTTTGTTGCAATCGTGCCATTGGAGCAGGACCTCGAGCTGTGGGTGAGCCCAGGGAGCCACCACACTGTGCAGGCGTTTGCTGCTCGGGCAGAGCCTGCTGCTGCAGCTGCTGCTGCAGCAGCAGATGATGCCGAAGCAGGTGATGCAAGCAGAGCCGACAGAAGCAGTGCGGCAGGTGGGGAGGCCAGCCCCCACAGCGGTCAGGGGGCGGGGCGGGGTGGCACGCCATCAGGCCTGTCCCTGGCGAACACATTGACCCTGCCGGACGAGACAGCCCTGAGGTTCGTGTCACACCTCCTGAGTCACCCAGTCATGAGGATGCAGGGACAGCCTGGCCAGATCATTTTCCTGCATGGCAACACTGTGCATGCTGGGGCGGCTGGCAAGGCTGGCACCTGGAGCCCGCACCTCCACTGGTATGTTCAGGGTGGTGATCTGGAAAATGAGACATACAGCCTGGCATATGTCCACAAGGAGCTCCTGGCATATGTCCACAAGGAGCTCCGTCGGCTATTCCACCTCTCCTGAGCATTGAATATGCACACGGATGCCATTCCACAGTGGCCAGGCAGATTCCATCTGTGAGCGGCCAGCTTGTAGTTTGAGTGTGAGAGGGCGGGGTTAACCCCAAACGTTTGGGGCTGGTGAGACTGGAGTCCTGGCTGTGGCTGGTGAATGACCACAAACCCGCTGAGCTGGCGGTGTTGCCACCGTGCAGCTGGCCCATGAATGGGTTGGGACGTGCTTGTGTTCTGTCTACCCTGGGACTTGATGGTCAGACCGGCAGGGTGGCGCCCTCACCTGCCTTCCTTCACCTGCCTTCCTGCAAACTAGACATGAAGTTGCATCAGCTGCTGCACCTCGCAGAGCGAATTGAACACCTTGGGCCAAGTTTCACAACCGCGATGTGGGGCTACGAATCACTGTGGAACCATTTGGTGAAGCTGATGAAGAACAAGCAGTACTCCGAGGCTACCTGTATGCGCAGCTGGATACATAAGGAGTCGGTGATTCTAGCTGCGGAGAGGTTACCCGAGGGCCTCTGCTCTTTTGAACCCCCACAGGACGCCGTGTCCGCTGGAAAGTTGACCCATCAGCAGAAGGCATATTGGACAGTCACTAATTCCACCGGCCCCAGCGTTGACACTATCTCTAGAAATGCTGCAATAGGATTTAAGCAGGCACGGCGCGAGACCCTTCCGGAAGGCTTCCTCCTGGAGATGCATGAGACTTACCTGCGCCACAGCACCGACTACTCTGATTTATTTGGTGTTTTCACCGCCTGGCTGTGGGAGCAGTGGACTGATGACACGACCCCGGGGCCATTCCTGTCCGACTATCTTTCACACCTGAGGCTAAGGACCCATTCAAGAAGGACGCTGTTGCACCGGGACAGCCATGGCTCTGTGTCCATGCGGAACAAGGTGTGAAACCTGGTGTGACTGCCCTGTGATGCATGCCTGTCTTCATCGCTACAACTTGGTAAATACACTCACCACCTTGAGCGACCGTGCCGTACCTATCTGCTGGTGTGCCTCTTGCCTGCATCTGTAGGTGCTTGCCAAGTGCTGCCTCAGTGAGCTGTGGTGCCAAGATGTGTGGGTGCAGCCGGGTTTGCTGTTGGGGTCAAAGCCGGTCAGTGGTATACATCTCGCAGGCAGGTTCTTGGAGAAGCTCGTGGCCATCAAGCTCAACAACAACGTGGCACTCACTGCATTCGATAGCAACAAGCCTAAGACGTCACAGGCCTGCTGGTTCATCACCCGGAGATGCAACTCCAGCGACAAAATGTGGGCGGGGAAGGTGCTGGGCTTGTACCGCTACAGGTTGCCATTGAACAGGGATAAGTTCGATGTGGTGCTGGAGGTCGAATGGCATGCTCCCCTGCTGGGGAACAACAGTGATGCCGAAGTTGCGGTCGACCAGTTCATGAATGTCCCCTTGGTGGACGCCAGGGCTGCCAGTGTGTCCAACACAGGCTCTCGTTACTACCTGGCTGAGGATGTTGCGCCTTGCCGGGTGCACATCTTGCCACACCCCAGTAAGCGGGGCGCCCTGTGTGTTCTTTCAAGAAGCTACAGCTTCATGCGGGTGGCTGGCTGGGAGGCCCTGCAGCCACAGACCCCATGGGCGAGGTCACGGTAGCAGCACATTAGTAATATTAGCGCTGCAAGACCTCTGAATCCCTTGTGGCTTGCTCTTGAGGGGCAATCGTTAGTAACACATTGGTGGAGTGGAGGGCAAATCGTGGGGACTGGTGGGCATGGTCGCCCAGGCCCTCGAATGGTCGGACCGTGGCCTGGGCGGGGCTTCTCAATGAAGGTACAGCTGATGGTATGGCTGATGGATAACCGAATGAATGTTGTGCACAGGGACGTATTGGTGAAGTAATAGGTAATGGGAGTGGCACATTACTATGCAAATCGACAGAAATTGCTTGGGGCCCGTTCCATACGTTGACTGACTAAATCCTTCGTTGGATAGTTGATTGTTGGGGCATGTCTGCTTCGCTTGTATACTGGGGCGACTTCCTGGTGCCAGCCAGTACTAGTTTTCGAAGGGCCTTACCCGCGGGTCCAGAGCAGTAGGGGCCCTCATGGTCGGTCTTGTGGATGATTTCAGCACTATGAACTTATTTCAGAATACAGGACTGACTCTCTGTTTCCTGCTTGAACTATATATGGAAGGGGCAAACCACTGTAACTTGTGCGTGTTTCTGCTAAGTTTCCGCACTGTTGCATTCTCAAAGCCATTCTTTCGTAAAACCGTCATAAGAATGCTTGAGACTGGCATAAGATCATTCTCAGCAGCACCAGCATTCTCAAGCCGTTCTTAGCATTCTTAGCGTTCTCAGGAACATTCTTTAGCACGCTTCCATTTTGGTTTAGCACGTGCTAAAGTGTCTCTGCGCGTTGCTCGTAAGCGTATGAAACGCTTCATGGACAAGAATCGTTCTGAGAGAACTTTTCAATTGGGAGACCGTGTCTTGATGCCATCATGATGCCATCATGATGAGTACTAAGCATATGCGCTTAGACGGTCCTTGTAAACTCCTTCCTCGTTACATCGGTCCTTTTGCTGTAACGCAGGTTATTCATCATGTGGCATATCGTTTGGATCTGCCTACTAACGTGCGTGCACATAATGTGTTTCACGTTTCTCTCCTTAAGCTCTACCGTGATGGTGGACGTGTTCCTTTACCTCCCGTTCCTGGTGTGGTGGATGGTAATCTCGAATTCGAAGTCGGGATAATCCTGGACCGTCGTGTCGTAAAAAGCAAGGGTAAATCCACTAAACTTGGTGCTAAGCAATGTTTCTTTCTTCGATGGAAAGGCCAGGGTATGACTCTTTGGAGCCCGAGTCCAATCTTACTAACTGCGCTGCCTTCTGTGTGATTACTGGGCATCTATTCCTGTGACAGATCCTATTCCTGCCCCTCCATCCAAAAACACTTCGGAAAGTGTTCTTCCTGAGTCTCCTGCCGTTGAGACTACTCCTGTCGTGCCTCCAGCTCCTATTCCTACACGTCAGTGTTTTTTTTAAGTAATATATTCCTTTTAAGGAATAAAGAGGCCATTTTGGCCTTTGGAAATAAGGAACAAAGTGAGGCCGATCCGTACATTTTCATTCCTTCAGCCAAAAACGTCCATTGCTGCCAGATTGCTCCGTAGTGTGCATAACTTAGTATTATCGATCATAAAATAGATATGAGGGGCCGTAAGAAGGTCAAGCCCGTGAGTCAACGCGGCATAGCAGAATGTATGACCGGTCCTTCCATAGCCAAACACGCAAAAGGCAACGACTTGAACGCCGAACAAACACATAAACAGCAAGATAAGTCTGAAATGTTTCCTGATAAAGGCGTTTGGGACGGCGGTGCTGTTGTCGGTAATGCATCGGCAATGTTGCTGCCAGCGGCGACCAATGACACGGGCGCCATTCCCTAAGGCACTGATTGGGTCAGTAACCCATGGGTTACCCATCTTCAACCCCCGGTAGCCCTTTGGTAACCCCCTTGTAAGTTCCTACCCAGCAGGAGGGGTAACACGGCCCCAGGGTAAACCCCTCCGTTGCCCTGGACTATGGACATATGTATGGGCCTATAGGCTACTCGTCTTATATGCTTCCCACATCGTGAATTCCGCTTAAGGATACTTCTAAAAATGTAAACGTTAGCAACCTACAGTATCGTGGTATCTTGGGAAGCATCGTTTGCCATTTCAACCCTAAGGTCTCTAATGCTAGCATCACACACGCAAGGAATAAGCAATAAGTACCTATGTCTTGGCCTGTTTGGCTTGTAGATGAGTACAGGAGAAGGGGCGAATGCTGGCAGCACACACGCAAGTCGACGACAGGTCTTCGCTAAATGGATGCCTTTGGTTGTCATCCAACGTTATATAATAGTTGTAATTGTGAAACATCAGGCAGTCAGTCCTGAGGTCGGCCGACATATTACCGGCCGGGGGTGGTCGTACGCATATGTGCATGCTGCTTTACCTCCATTGATACTCCTGACAAGCACATTCAAGCTGAATCATAGCTAATTAGCTTGTAAGCTCATATAGTCTGGTCTTTTAATTAGACGGACGTGCTACAATAAGCGATCGCTTATCGCGATGACCACTATCACGAATTCAGTCAATCATATTCACTGCTGGCATTGTTCCTATTGACCATAGATACAATGCACACATATAATCCACGTTGCAATACTGGTGCGTATGGCGGCAAAAATGGTGGCGTTCTAGCGTTCGCGCGCGCGGAACCACCACAACAAGACCGTTGACTGTCTTTCTGCAGCACAGGCCCACACTTATGGTGCACCTCATTTAGCAAGACATCCAGTGACATCCAAGGATTTTTGCCTGAGGGTGCCTTACACTTAGCCGGGTGTGACTGTGTCCGGGGTGTCGGATCTCCCGCCCAAGACCTTCGACGCTCTTAGGAGAGTCTGCTCTGAAAACGAGCAGACTCTGGATAGTGTTGCATAGGTCGTGCGTAGAGCTGGAAGTAGCAGGTCGGGACGGGGCACTTCAGCTACTGGCCGACCTTAAGGTATTGTAAGCTTACATTGCCGCCCGTTGGCTGGTCCGCGAGTTTTAGGTCTTGGGTCCGGAGGGGCGGTAAGTGCCTGGACCTTTTGAGGAATATTTATTGGCTTCACTGGCGGCTTCTCGCTGGCGGCGGTCCCCAATTTGCTCTGCCTATGTACGCCTCTTCGTCCTCCTCCTTGCATCTAGGCTGCAGCTGTGTGCCTTATCCTTAAGTCTAGGTTTCTACACAAGGCATGTTTTGGTGCGTCAATGTTGATAATTGGGCATTCACAAGTGATTGGTGAAGACATGTATGTTTGCATGTGTAGACAGGCGAGACAGGTGCAGGTGAATGTAAACATGGGTTACCCTGTCTGTTACCCATCAGTAGTGTATTACTCCGACCCCTTTGTTACCCCTCGGTAAGGGGTTACCCCTACCCCGGGGTTAGGTTACCCACCTCCCTTCGTACATAGCCACATGGGTAACCCCTAACCCTACACCCTGGGTTACGCTTAAGGGGGGGTTACCCCTCGTTTTATGCCATAGGGATTACCCCTGCCTTCCATGGCGGTTGTGATCAGCATAAGCGCAAGCTGTCACCCAATCAGCTTGACAACAACGAATGCGGCGAGGCGCCCAACCCGAGCGCTCGCAGTGCCAAGCGGGCTCAGACACAGCGCATCTGCAAGGGCATGAGCGACGGTGCATGGCGGGACAAGCAGAAAGAAAATCCCCACAGATGGCAGATTGCCTGGGCCGCCAGGTATCCCTGGGCCCAGCCTGTGCATTCTGACGTGAACGCCGGAGAAGTGCACAACCAAGTGCGCTGCATCCCCTGCACGTTGATGAAGAAGAGCGACTACCTGATCATGTGCCGGGCGGCTACCCTCGACAAGCACGTGACTTCTGAAGTGCACAAGACGTCAGTGGACCATGAACAGAGCCAGAAGGCACGCCTGGCACTCCAGCAGCAGCGGAACGCGACCCTGCCGCAGCTCTACACCCCGGGCAACACGGAGGCAGAGAAGGCCAAGCATCAGCAGCTCATCCAGCTCTTCTGGCAGCTTACCCGGGGGCGGCCCATCACGGACTTCATGGCTTCTAAGGAGGCGTTCGAGGCGCTGTCCGTCCCACACATAAGCAGCTCACACTGGAGCGGCTTCTCAGCCTGGAACCTCGCTGAGGCGCTTGACGGGGTACTGATGGACAAGGTCCGGGAGCTTGTGTGGAGCGCGCGATTCATTTCGCTGAGCATGGACGAGTGCGTGGGCATCGACAAGAATTCGCGCCTCTCCCTGCACGTGTACGTCATGGATGCGCAGTGGAGCCGGTTGCCGCTCCTGATCGATGTGAGTTTTAACGGGTGGACAGGCTGCCGGGACTGGGGGTTTGCCGCATTTGTCTTGTTCTCCACAAGTTGTAACATCATTCCTCACAAGTTCCTATCTTCTGAACTTGTGTCCACTTTAAGTATCCCTGCATCCCCGCAGTTGGCGCATGTACGGGGCGCACCTGACGCTGAGAACATCACGCAGTTGGTGCTGGATACACTGAACATGGAGGGCGACCTCGGGGAGCAGGATTTGGCGCGCAAGCTCGTAGCGGTCAGCACTGACGGTGCAAGCGTGATGACGGGCGTGCACAATGGTGTGTCAGCAAGGCTCAGCCAGACCGCGCCGTTCCTGCTGAGCATCCACTGCATGGCACACCGCACAGACCTCGCCATTGCCGTGCTGGAAAAAGCCCCGGTCGTCAAGATGATTGTGAGCGTCATCAAGGACGTTTACAACTACTTCTCGGGCAGTGCTAAGCGTGTGAGCATGTTCGAGGATGTGGCCAAGGCTGCAGGAACGGATGGCAACCGGCTGAAGCGCATCGTAGAAACAAGGTGGATCTGTGCATGAGAGCCGGCAGCCTCCCTACTGGCCGAGTACCCAGCGCTGCTGCCGCTGTTCTGCAAGGAGGAGGAGAAGCTGTATAACACACTACAGGACGCACGCCTGTATGTCTCAATGCACGCGCTGATGCCCGCCCTGGTCACCATCGACATGTTCATCAAGCTTTGCCAGAGCCGTGGGCTGTATATTGGTGAGCTGGCCAAGGCGCTTCAGTGCACCAAGGATCGGCTGCGCGAGATGTACCTCAGGCCGGAGACCCGCTACACCACCGTGGAGTTTGGGGACTTCAAGGAGCTGCTGTCAGTCGATGGAGACATCAAGGGCACCGCCTGGGTGTTCAATCCCGACACGCCGGGTGGGGTGAGGAGCGGATCGGACTGATGTGTGGCAGCAGCGGCTTCTACCCCTTCATCGCTGATCCTCCTCGCACTGGCCGAGACCGCACACCACCGCCTTTGACACCGGACCGCCTGGCCCAGGTCGTGAAGTCGGTGCAGGCAGACATGTCAGCCGCGGTCGAGGAGCTGATAGGTGAGCTGTCTTCATGGTTTCCCCCACATCCACTGCTGGAGGCGCCGTCGATTGTCTACAGTGAGTACTGGGAGAACAGGCCCATGGCAGCCGACTTCAAGGCGAAGCTGAAGATCCTCAAGGATTACTACTGCCGTGAGCGGGTGGGCGCCAACTCCAGCAAGGTGCCACCGATGCTGGACAGCGCCTTGCTGGACGAGCAGGCGAACTTGTTCGCCTCCAGCATGAATCAGCTCGCCGCACAGCAGCGCCTCAGGCGGGCGCGAGAGCAGACCGAGCGGCAGAGGCAGCAGACGGCAGCAGTGGACCCAGACGCGCCCACATCCAAGCGTGAGCACCGGGTGCTGCTCGATGACACACCCACAGCACGGGTGTGGCAGGCCATCAGCAACTGTGCGGTCCTCGCCGGCGGCTTAATGGAGTATTCGGCTTTGGCCCAGCTGGTGTTAGTGATGGTGCCAGGGTCAGTGGAGGATGAGCGGCGGTTCTCGGCCATGGGGTACTTGCAGGACCCCACCCGCAACCGCCTGGACGAGCACCTAGCATTGTGTGTGCGGATGTTTACCCAGGACCTGTTCGACCTGGGCACGTTCCCGTTCCGTGACGCACTGAGGAAGTGGCTGGACAGCAGCAGCAGGGGCCGGTACATGATGAACTGGTAGAGTCCCAGTGTGCTGTGGTTTGCAGTGGTGGGTGACGGCCTTTGATTTGCTATGCGGTTGCTTGCTTTGGGCCTTTGCTTGGTCGGATTTACTTTTTGTTCACAAACAGTGCCAGAACTATCTATGCATGTGCATGAAGCGTGCGCACATGAACGAAAACGCGCCAACGCAGTGCGTGCCTCTTGGTCTATGAGGGGAGTTTTAACTTATTGGGGGGGTCTGGGGGGGGTGTAGCCCCCCCCAGCGGCCCACTCTTAAGGAATACATAACGGCGACGCTAGCAACTTTGTTACTTAGGTTGGAATAAATTGAGACCCCCCCTAAATGAAAAAAAAATCACTGCTACACGTACTCCTATTCCTGAGGTGCGGACTACTCGTTCTGGCCATGTGGTTCGACCACCTGCCCGGACACTCCTTCTCGCTCTTCGCAACAATCCCGTCAGTGAGGCGCTTACTGCTTTATTCTTACATGTGGCGGCGGAATTGAAGTGGGTCTATCGAGGACGAGCAGACTTTAAGAGGGGGAGAATGTTATGAGTATTCCGTTAATGGCGGTAATGACTAACACATCCTTATTACAATTCCTTGTAACCTATATAGGCGGAACAACTCCTGCCGTACTATCGTACAGCCGTACCCCAACAAGGGTGTATCCTTCCTCCGGTTAGTTCCGTCTAGGCGGACATTTGGTTGTCAAGAACCAACCAGCCGATACAAACTGTATAATAGTTTCCGCTAAGTATTGTTCGTACCTCGATCCTACTACTCACTACAGAGAGTGCCTCTAATTATGGACGGTGGTGGACCTGGGATAAGTAGGACCTGCGAGCTGACCAGGAGTGATCCACTGTATAGTCGGCTAGAGTGTGATTGAATGTGCCCCAAAAATACTGGTCAGGGTTTCGGTAGGTACCGGCCACGGTGAAAAATGAAGATATGCCCCCCTATCCCACATATCATCATATATGCATGTACGAGGCGTCTACATAGTTGGTTGAATGTGACCACAGGGCCTGCATGTATGTGTATGGACACAACTATAAAGCATACTATACAGAATTGCAACGATGACATACTACTAACCCTGCTGGCGCCACAAACACTTGTGTTTACCCTAAACCTGTGTGATGCATGCAGCGGGTAATATGCACTAATGTGTGAATCTTCATAATTGTCCGAGCACATAGACGAGTAAGAGAGCCTATACCCATGCAGGAGCTGCTGCACGACAGGCAGGTGATGGTGTGCTGATCACAGGTACTGTCCTCATCTCGCGTCTAGCCCTGGCCAATTTTACGCTGACGATGACCACTGCAACCAGGACAGCGACTCCTGCAATACCCGATAGCGTGGTAATGAGCGCCACCTTGGTAGTGGTGGGCTGGTGGCCGCCTTTGGCTGCCGTAGTGCTTGTGGCCTCCAATTGTGAGTCAGTTGCTGCTGCGTCAGCAGAAAGTCAAATGCAGAAAAGTAAATTGGCACATGCCATGGAGTCAGCACAGACAGCACCAGCCAATAAGCGGCATGGATACAATATTCAAGAGAGATGTCTTCCAGCGATTTTTTGGAGCCCTATTGGTGTCCCCTAGCCACCCTAGAGTATCTACACGGCCGTGTCTGCACGAATGGGTGTCAGACAAATCCACCCATCATTAAAAAGGAGGATAATCAAGCTCCATCCCTATAAAGGGATAAGTTAACCCCTCCCGTTGCGTCATGCATGGTCTTGACAGTGGCCATGCATGGAGATGTTCACGTGACCATAATCATGCACCAATAGATCAGTGGTTGACATGCATACACACAGCCGTATACATGTTCTGGTGCTGTGTGCAGGAACAGGAACGTGTTGAAGCTGGCCAGTGCAAAGGCCTCTAGGGATGCTGGTGGAGCGCTTTAACACATACTTGTAGTTGATACATGTGTAGTGTGTGGTGTACCAGCTTCTACATTCCTCCCCCTTGGAGGGGTCCGACTCGAGCCCTTAAGGCCACATACATCAGGCTGTGCCTACCATCGCCTACCCTCGGGCAGTGGGTTATCCATCCATGTCACATCATGCACCCAGCTGTCTTATGGTTTTTCAGGCACAAAGTCTTCCCAGCCAATCACAGCTACGTTTTGTCACGATACGATTTGCTCTTGGCTGGTTATATGCATGCTTATCATCGTTATCATGGTATAGGTTGAATGCATGGTATGTTATCACGGTATCGGTTGAATGCATGGTATGGTATGTTCAGCAGTAAATGTGTACCCTTGCAAGGGTACGCATGTGTATCATGCAAGCTGTTTAACTGTCGATTCTTTTTATGCTTGCAAGCAAGGTAGACAATTGTCAACCTATTATTTCTAGTAAGCATGACAAGCAATACATGAAAACAAAAACGGGTTGCAGCCTGCTCTGGGCCTCTCCAGTAACTGCTACTAAGTTCACACATACCTGAAGATTCGGGCTGCTCCTGCTGCTGCTGCTGTGTAGCGGTGGGGGTTACAATAATGCCCTCCAGATGTGATGCGGTCACGGCTCCCCACTGGGACGTGAAGTCGCTGCTGATGTGTGAGCTGAGGCTACTGGCAGTGGCAGCAGCGGCATCGGTGACCTGTTGAAGCAGGTATTTTCATGCACGCAATATTCAACATTCAATGAGTTGTCAAATTTTTTTTGTGCATTTGTGCGGAATTGCAAGGATGCAGGTTTTAAAACGGGTTGAGATAGAAAGAAGGAGTGAATGTGTATTAATATTGTCAGGTCAGCAGCCCAGCATTGTAGCAAAGTCTGAGGCCAGACAAGGGCAACTGCTGTGTGGAGCCGGCCCCAGCTAGCTAGGCCCCCTGGCTGGCAGCAGTGTGTATATCCCGGTAGGGGGCCTAGCTAGCTGGGGCCAGCTAGGCCCCCTACCGGGATATGCACACAGCTGCCGGTCTAGATACTTACGGAGGAATCCGAAGATTTGGCTGGGAGCCGGACCACGTAGTTTACAGTGACTGATGAGGACTCACAGCTGCTGAGGTTGGTGATGTTGATGTTGTCAGCACTGGAGACCTGCACACGTTTCATCCACAGCATGCAGGTAAAACGCCTAGCTACCGTGTCCAGATGCGTTGTAGTAGCTGGCCGCTGAAAAGGCCTCTCGAGATGCTGGTTTACGCGCTTAGTGCGTATTTGTAGTTGTTATGTGTGCCATGCTGTTTACCGGCTACTACACTGTTGCAAATCAACAAAAAAATAATGATCGTCTATCGACATACTGCAATACACAGTCGTCGTATAATAGATAGGACCAAGAAATAGATGTTATAAAGATTCATGGTATAGAGTGTTAATAATAGATCGTGCCATGGTATAATATATGGCCTGAAAGTAGGTATTCTTTTAAAATTTCAAGCTCTTGAAGGGTCTTGTCCAGTCACTGTACCATTTGCAAGCCCCATGTATGCTCAATCAGTCGGTAGCTGGTTGCAGTCAGCGGCGATTACTTATTCAGGGTTAATTGCTCCTTTAAAACTCATCTAATCAAATATTGGGATGATAACTACAGCATCACGTTTCAGTAGTAGTACAATGACTAGGAGCACATTGCTCAGCAAGTTAAGCACACCCACACCCACACCCACACCCACACCCACACCCACACCCACACCCACACCCACACCCACACACACCTCACACACACCTCACGCACACATACACATACACGGCCCGCATGATGCCACGCACCCCGAAGGCACTGGCCAGCTCCGCCCTGAGGTCGATGGCGAGGTTGGTACCCAGGCTGTCGATCAAGCCACAGTCTGCACTTAGGGTCATGTTGCCATAAACCTTGGCACCTGCAGCTGCTGTGGCGCTGTCTGACAAGCCTGTCTCCCCAGGTAGGGTGGGCGGGATTGCGGATAGATTGCGACAGGTTGTAAATGGATACAAGTTGATGAGGATTACCGTATTAATGACAAGCTAGTCTGCATGTACATGCTTCCGAAAAGGCTGATGAGGATGCGTCTATAAATCCTTGATGCCCTTCACGCAACGGTAGAATAGATAGGGACCTTCCCAATCTATTATACAAGTAGACGTCATATAGACCATGAGATATTTGCATTCGCGGGTAGCCCCCGGAAGTCCTTGGCGCATGTGACTTTGATTTGTTGATCCCATAGCCCGGCTGCCACCGACTTCAAATACGGTGGTGCTGGAGCATAGTGTTGTATCACGTCTTATCGCAGGAAAAGAACCGATCGGTGGATGACAGATCCCGTGATACCAGGATACTACAACTATTCCCCCTCTAGCATTGAGGGCGTCCTCGACCGTTCGTCTATCTCAGGGCACCTGAGAGATGTACAGTATCCATAGTTTACCAGCGGAATTGGGCCAAGCGGAAAATTGAACTCAAGACTGGGACACCAGGTCTCGATACCAATTACATATGTCACGTCTTATCACAGGATAGAGGCAATTGGCGGATGCAACATTCCGTGATACCCAGGATACTACACATCGTTATACAAGTAATTCCATGTAATTGCTGCATATAATTACGACGAGACATGATGTACTTACTACACAACATACAAATACACCGGCCTTGGTATATTACCTGACGGAGAAGGGGCTGCCTGCTGATTTGATCCGCGGTACTTTCCCGTTGATGGTGTTGTTGGATGTGATGGCGGTGATGGCGGTGAGCTGGGTGGCTCAGGCGATGGCGGCGCTGGGCTGGGTGGCTCAGGCGATGGCGACGCTGGGCTGGGCGGAGCAGGAGATGGCGGCGCTGGGCTGGGTGGAGCAGGCGATGGCGGCGCTGGGCTGGGTGGAGAAGGCGATGGCGGCGCTGGGCTGGGCGGAGCAGGAGATGGCGGCGCTGGCGGCGCTGGGCTGGGTGGCTCAGGCGATGGCGGCGCTGGGCTGGGTGGAGCAGGAGATGGCGGCGCTGGGCTGGGTGGAGCAGGAGATGGCGGCGCTGGGCTGGGTGGCTCAGGCGATGGCGGCGCTGGGCTGGGTGGAGCAGGCGATGGCGGCGCTGGGCTGGGTGGAGCAGGCGATGGCGGCGCTGGGCTGGGTGGAGCAGGCGATGGCGGCGCTGGGCTGGGCGGCTCAGGCGATGGCGGCGCTGGGCTGGGTGGCTCAGGCGATGGCGGCGCTGGGCTGGGTGGAGCAGGCGATGGCGGCGCTGGGCTGGGCGGTTCAGGCGATGGCGGCGCTGGGCTGGGTGGCTCAGGCGATGGCGGCGCTGGGCTGGGCGGATCAGGCGATGGCGGCGCTGGGCTGGGTGGCTCAGGCGATGGCGGCGCTGGGCTGGGTGGATCAGGCGATGGCGGCGCTGGGCTGGGTGGAGCAGGCGATGGCGGCGCTGGGCTGGGCGGAGCAGGCGATGGCGGCGCTGGGCTGGGTGGCTCAGGTGATGGCGGCGCTGGGCTGGGTGGAGCAGGCGATGGCGGCGCTGGGCTGGGCGGATCAGGCGATGGCGGCGCTGGGCTGGGTGGAGCAGGAGATGGCGGCGCTGGGCTGGGTGGAGCAGGCGATGGCGGCGCTGGGCTGGGCGGATCAGGCGATGGCGGCGCTGGGCTGGGCGGATCAGGCGATGGCGGCGCTGGGCTGGGTGGAGCAGGAGATGGCGGCGCTGGGCTGGGCGGATCAGGAGATGGCGGCGCTGGGCTGGGCGGATCAGGAGATGGCGGCGCTGGGCTGGGGGGCTCAGGCGATGGCGGCGCTGGGCTGGGCGGAGCAGGTGATGGCGGCGCTGGGCTGGGTGGCTCAGGCGATGGCGGCGCTGGGCTGGGTGGAGCAGGATATGGCGGCGCTGGGCTGGGTGGAGCAGGCGATGGCGGCGCTGGGCTGGGCGGATCAGGCGATGGCGGCGCTGGGCTGGGTGGCTCAGGAGATGGCGGCGCTGGGCTGGGTGGCTCA